CAACAATTTTCTCTTTATTCCATCTGTATTGATAACATTTTCTTTCTCTGGATAACAAAAATTCAGGTGCTCCAGTGATGTAATTGTATAGATACAGTCATACAGGTATATAAGAAAGCACCATGAAGAATCTTCTTTCATTTGGTCATTCTCTCCTTGACCTGGATGGAATCCATTAAATCATGTAGTGATTTTAGTAATTTTACAGTAAGTTCTTGGCCCTGGCCCAAGAGGTCAAGGTGAAGGATTTGTACTTCTCTAATGATGATATACTAACCAGTTTTCTTTCACAACGAATGCATTTGCCTTTCTGTCATACAGGCAATTAAGTGTGCATGTCTTATAGGGCCCTACTCAAATAATTGGGCTTGTAAAGACAACATTTTTAGGCTTGTGGTTGACATTTCTCTAGCAATAATGAAGATTTGTTCCCTCATAAACAGTGTATATCAGCATAATTACCAAGCACTATACTTAATATGAATGATTCATAATAATACAGGACAAGAAAATATTTTGTAAACCAAATTTGGGAAAAGAGATCATTAACAATTGAACATGATAGAAAACCAAATACCTTCACATAATTCTTGAAATGTTTGCGAATTGATGGATCAAAGTAGAAGGAATCATTGGAGGAGCTCAAACCAATGCCTTCTTCCCAAGCCCACTTGACATACTGAGTCTTCCCGCCATATGCTTGCAAGTTATTTACCAAGCAAAGAAGAAGCCTAATTCCATGTTGCCTTGCTTCTGCAATCACGTAATCTAAGGCCTGCAATGCTATTCATTGTTAAACACAAACCAACAAGTGGGGAAAATCTACTAGTATCATGTTTAGAAACAAAAGACCTGCTAAAGCATTTTGGAAATTATAATCAGTTTTAACAAACTGGTTTAAAGATTATATAGGAATGCAACTGGCATCAATAATTAATTCCTGCAACAATTAAGCAACCCAAACAATTTCAACTTTATGTTCTTGTTTTGCAGTTCCCTGATTTCAGTTTCAGATAGACCCATCATATAATTAATAAGAATAAACTTAATTCAACCTTAGCATAGAGTACTTCAACTATTCATTCAGAATCAATGCTAAACAGTTTCAATAGAAACAATTAACATGAATAATAAGATCTAAACAAACTCTAACAAAGTTTAAGTTTAGAATTTTGAAACGTGTATCATTGATCAGTTAGCAAAATAACAGTCTATTAATCTTATTTCAAGCACCTGAATCTTATATTCATCAGGGACCAAACATCAAGCTCAACGATTATGCACCAGAACAGAATATAGGTACTTTATAGCAATATAGAAGTTACCTTGAAAACTCGCTCGTCAAATTGACCAGGGGAAATCTGCAGAGCGTTATAGCCTCCATCATTAAAGGCCCAGGTCCTACAAACAGTAAGACCCATCTTCACACCAGCTTGCAACATTGCACCGACCCTAGGTCTGCTATAGTCCTCCGCAGACTGAACCATAAACCAATATGAGTTCCATCCATTAACATAGAATACTTTCCCATCCAAAATGAACTGAGTTCCATTCCTTTTCACAAAATCTAACTCTGGCCCTTTAGGATAACTATTAAGCCTCAGGCCACCAAAAGACATGTAAATGAAAAGGACACAAGATGCAAATCCAAGAATTGGAAATAACAGCCCATTTCCTGCTACCATTTTTTCCATATATTGTACAAGACCTGAAAACTAAAAAAACAGCCAAAACTCCAGAAAAGAGAAAAATCCCAGATACCCTTTGAGCTATACTTCAACGATATCCAACAATCAAAGAATATATCACCCTAAACTGCCAATCTCTAACACACCCAGATCCCAATACTAGAAGGACTAAAAGCAAAACCAAGAGGCAAACCAAACCCCCTCTTCACAAAGTGTACCCGGAAAACCCCAAATCTCCAACTATCCTTAATGAAATTCAATAAAGAAGCAGACCCAGCTCCCTCTTCATAAAGGGTACCCAAAAATGACTAGAAAAATTATTCAAACCTCCACATACCATCAATGAGACTCAGTCAACATAGGTTTGTAATGTTTCTGTCTGTGGGTTTGGGATCCTTCTATACAGGAAAACGACGCCAGAAAAGAAAGGAGGTACAACTCACAAGAACTATATTGCAAAGAAAGCACACCCGACAAATCTCTAACCTCGAAACCCAATAATCAAAAGTAGGGATTGACGAGAGGTGGGGTGAGGTGCAATGTTGGTATCAGCAGCAGCTCTGTTGCTTTAAGGCTTAAAGAAGATGATTCCGATCTGTGTCCCACACCTGACCTGATTTTTCCACACTTTCCTTGGATTTCAATAAACAATACTGAACTAAAGTCTATTCAAGAAGCCATGGTCCAAGGGTGAAGCACTAAAACCGCTCTTTGTCTCCTTCGAAACGTGAATAATAAAAAATTTAATTAATTATATATAGCAATATAATTAATTACAATCAATTATTTTTACATTGAAATTTGTGCCCACAAAATGACTTTTCTAGATTAAGCCATGGCTTCAAAAGTGTGGCTTCTCCCGATGTTTTTTTTTCCAAGAACCTTGCAAAACCAAAAGCGGCCTAC